CCCTTGGGGATGTTTCCTCTTCTCTCTAGCACAAAAGAGAAGCAGCTTGTCAGCATGTCTGTATACGGCCAGCAGATGTAATGCAGTCCAGGCACGCCCCGGAGAGGTCTGGAGGCAATCACGCACAGCAATGTGCTGAGCTGTGTTTGCAAATGAAATGGCTTCCCCGCCTCCTTGCCTTGTACCATTCATTCGGTTTCACCATCCATTCCCCAGATACCCATTACTGAGGCCTGCTCCCCTCCCTGACGGATTCCAACAGCAGACAGTGTCTCACTTTTGGCTGCCCGGCCTCTCTTCCTAAGGGAGGAAGGCTGCCCCTTTGGTTAAGGCAGAGCTCTGGCAACCTCGGCTTAATTCCAGCTCTTCTCTAGACTCCAGGGCTGTGTCTATATTGGCAAGATTTTGCTCAAAAGCAGTCTCTTTTGCACAAAATCTTGCCGCTTGTCTACACTGGCCACAAGTATTTGCGCAAGAACACTGATGTTTTACTGTATGAAATCAGGGCTTCTTGTGCAAATACTCTGATGCTCCCGCTCAGGGATAAGTCCTCTTGTGCAAGTGTTCTTGTGCAAGAGGCCAGTGTAGACAGGTAACATCAATTTCTTGCGCAAGAAAGCCCGATTGCTAAAATGGCCATCGGAGCTTTCTTGCGTAAGAGAGCGTCTACACTGGCACGGATGCTCTTGCACAAAAGCAAATCTTTTGTGCAAAAGCACATGCCAGTATAGACGCTCCCTTGCACAAATACTTTTAACGGAAAAACTTTTCCTGCCCTGACTTTTCCTGCCCTTGAGACCGTAGCTATGAAAGGAGGCAATAATCTCTCCTTTCTTCCACTCTGCCTTGTGGGTTTAAATCACTAGAAGGTTACCCGGCGTTGCCCGGGACCAGTGAAATTACTCCTGACCTATAGCAGGGTAAGTGTGAGGAGATCCATGGCTCAATCGTGGCTCTCACCTCTGTACGCTAGTGACTTCCATGGAGTTACACTTAGAGGAGGGTTAGGCCCATAACAGCTACGTCTGTTGGAAGAGCAATGACTTTCCTGGCTATGTGGAAAGGAAGAACAATGGCACCGTCTGATTTCAGATCTCCTCCCTGACCGGATCGAGAAGAGCCAGCCAGCGCAGCCACATGCAGCTCTGGGCTCATGTCCATAAGCTACAGGTGAGTAGAGAACCAGCCAGCTTGAAACACAAATGGAGACGATTCACATAAAGGTGGGGTTTGGAGTCAGGCACTGCATGGCTGCAAATGTCACTTTTCTCAGACCAAGTGAGTTAGGCGCCTAGGACCCTCTGAAATTCAGTAGGAACCTCTTTCCTCTGGGCCCTCGTTATATCTCAGCCCAGGGCCCCGCTCCTCATGCTGTTGCACCATTGATTTCAATGTAAACTAGTTTACCCGACATAGTCAATGAAGCGGGGATTTAAATAATCCCCACTTCATTAAAATAAAAATGGCTGCCGCGCTGTGCTGACAATAAGTTGATCTGGCACAGTGCGGCAGTCTAGATGCCGATTGGTCGACAAGGGAAGCCTTTGTCGACTGCTCCTGTAAATCTCGACAAGGGAGTGGTCGATAAGGGAGCTGATCGTCGGCACAGCGCAGCAGCCATTTTTATTTTAATGAAGTGGGGATTATTTAAATCCCCGCTTCATTGACTATGTCGGGTAAACTAGTTTACATGGCTTCATTGATGGACCCATGTATGATTCCAAATTTCTCTGTTTTTTCTGTAAGGTTGATTGAGAAGCAATTCTATTCCAGGTTCATTCTATTTTGCTGGCTCATCTTGGTTCCGTTTCTTTCAACATTTGCTCAGTTACGTCAGTTTTAAGGACTGTACTTGATTTGGTGATTCTGTCTCTTTTCTGTTTGGTTTTATGAGACACAAGCCCACACCAAGCACATCCTGTTTTCCTGGCACAACAAAACCCTTACGCTGCTTTAAGTTATGATAACAGCAAGCTGTATATCTAATTTGGTGGTCTTAGCTCTTACAGTTTAGGAGAAATTCTTGATGAAATAGACACACACACAAACTCTCTAAAATATATACAGGTTGAACCTCTCTAATCCAGCATTCTGTGGTCTGGCAACCTCCGTGGTCCGGCATGATTTTATTTAGACAGATGCTCACTTATCATGGGTGTGGCCAAGATTCCCGTGATCCCATAAAGTTTGTTTACAGGCACCAGTCCTTTTGGTAGCTTTCATGAACCAGTTTGGTTATGAACTTAAGAGAGAAAAATCTAAAGCTGTGTCTTGGTCAGCAAGCATGGTGGGAGCAATATTGTCCTCTCATACCACTGCTGTGGATCCTAGAGGGTGGTTCACCCTTCCCTGGGGGTGCATGGAAGTGAATGGTTTAGGGTGCAAGGGGAGGGAATATTGGCTGGGAACATACTCATGGAACATTTGTCTCCTATTAGAAAAAGCTCCAGGAATCCAAACTGGCTTCTGATGCAGAAGATGAGATTTTCAGAAAGGTACAGTAAACTCATTTAGGTAGGCATTAATTATTTAGGCGAGGGAAGGATCAGGCCCTCTGACAGGGAGAGGGCAAAGGGGGATATTGCCCCAGGCCAAGGCAAATCAAAATCTATCAGGTCCATTAGGAGGCATGTTAATGTATAGACAGATCAATATATACTAGTCAATATGGGTGTGTCTAGACTACAGGGTTTTTTCGAAAAAAGTGGCCTTTTTTTGAAAAAACTTCCCCTGCATCTAGACTGCTGCTGCGTTTTTTGAAAGTAAATCGAAAGAATGCGGCAGTTTTTTCGACCGTGAAAAACCTTGTTTTACGAGGAAGAATGCTTTTTTTTGAAAGTGCTCTTTCGAAAAAAGGCACTATGTAATACAATCTGTGCTTTTCCGAAAGACAGCATCCAGACTGAGGCTACGTCTAGACTACGAACCTCTTTCGGAAAAGAGCGTCTAGACTGCAACCAGTACTTTCAAAAAAGGAAGCCGCTTTTTCAAAAGAGAGCACCTAGGCCATCTGGATGGTCTCTTTTGAAAAAGCACAGTTTGAATGACATAGCATTTTTTTTTGAAAGAGCACTTTCGAAAAAAGGAGTTATTCCTCATAAAATGATGTTTTCCGTGGTTGAAACTGCTGCGTCCTTTCGATTTACTTTTGAAAGAACGCAGCAGTCTAGAAGCAGGGGAAGTTTTTTTGAAAAAAAGGCCTCTGTGCTTTTCCGAAAGACAGCATCCAGACTGAGGCTACGTCTAGACTACGAACCTCTTTCGGAAAAGAGCGTCTAGACTGCAACCAGTACTTTCAAAAAAGGAAGCCGCTTTTTCAAAAGAGAGCACCTAGGCCATCTGGATGGTCTCTTTTGAAAAAGCACAGTTTGAATGACATAGCATTTTTTTTTGAAAGAGCACTTTCGAAAAAAGGAGTTATTCTATATTAAACCATGTTTTCTGTGGTCCGATTTACTTTTGAAAGAACGCAGCAGTCTAGAAGCAGGGGAAGTTTTTTTGAAAAAAAGGCCTCCTTTTTAAAAAAAACCCTGTAGTCTAGACACATCCTGCCTGGGTGCTCTCTTTCGAAAAAGCAGCTTGCTTTTTCGAAAGGACTGGTTGTAGTCTAGATGCTCTTTTGCGAAAGAGGCTTGCAGTCTAGATGTAGCCTACATTACAAGCTTAATTTGATCCAGGTAGAACTGGGTCTCAGCTGGGCCTTCAGTACAAGCTACTACTGCCGGTATGCAATAGGAAGGACATTTTTGGAACATGGTAAAGCCAAATGAGACCTAGAGAAAACAATCAACAGCTCCGTTTCTCACCTAGCCTAAAAACACAGTGCAACAGTGGGTGCAAATCAACAGCATCACTTCACAGAACCAGAAGGTCCCTTTCTCTCTTAGGCTTGCAGTCTAGATGTAGCCTACATTACAAGCTTAATTTGATCCAGGTAGAACTGGGTCTCAGCTGGGCCTTCAGTACAAGCTACTACTGCCGGTATGCAATAGGAAGGACATTTTTGGAACATGGTAAAGCCAAATGAGACCTAGAGAAAACAATCAACAGCTCCGTTTCTCACCTAGCCTAAAAACACAGCGCAACTGTGGGTGCAAGTCAACAGCATCACTTCACAGAACCGGAAGGTCCCTTTCTCTCTCTCATCTCTCAGAGCACAGCCTTTACTTAAAGGCCCATCCTTGCCAGAAAGCTGTTGATTGACTGGAAGGAATTCAAAGACTTGCATTACTAAGAAACAGCTTGTTTACATATACATAGCTTGTCTCAGGAAGGATGGGATGGGAGAGAGGGTATAAGAATAGGCCTCCTGTATCTGATAGATATGACAACAAGGAAGAAGAGAAATATTTGGGCTGCTCCACAAAACAGAACTGGGGAGATGGGAGTGAAACCAAGCACATAAATATATTGGCGAGAGAGTTAAAAACCCCAAGCAGCAAGAAACTGCATCTATAATGCACATATAATGACTGAACGACTTTTTTGTTCTTAGCGTTAAGATGGCACAGAAGCCTTCCAGACCTTCCAAATCTAAGAAACACAAATACAAACCATGTAACCAAAATGCATTGTTCTAGAATATGCTGTCGCTACGGCACAGTTGAGTTCCAGCACTCATTTTCCGTTGAAATTTGCACAGTGATTTTTTTCACATTTCAGTCCCCACAGCGTCAGCTGTCAGCTCTTCGACATGTTGGGTTTTCCTGGAAGGTTTGGAGAGTGGAAATTCCCACAATCTGCCCAATTTGAATCGCCTCTGGGGTAGAAGTAACATACAGGCTTGATATAACTTTTCATTCTACAGAGATATTTGCATGACTGACTGAATAATTCCTAAGCAATATCTATTACTTTCCCATCATTCTTAGGAAGCACAAGCATCGTCATGACTTTCTTATTGACCAGTAATTACTGATTCGTTCTGCAGGAAAAAAAAGGGGAATTCTAAGCAAACTCTAAGCAGCAGGGGGTGAGGAAGTAGCAATTAGCACCCTTGTTACTAGACTGTAACAATGCCAGGTATCTGGCGTTTCTTTCTGTGTGTGAACACACAGAAGGATAGAGTCTTCAGGGCTGTTAAATGAGAACCTTTCACAAATAATACCTTCACCCCTTTTTGTTTTTTAACAAGTATAGGCACAGATAACTTAGGGCCTGTTGAACCGCATGCAGGCAAAGCTCACTGAAGAGTAGTGCACTTGCTTCCGCACAGCCAACGTAAGGAGAACATTTTCACC